AGTATTGTTGGAAAGGTTATGATTTACTGAATGTGTAAAAAGCAACAGAGGGTCCTGTGGCACCTTTAAGACTAACAGAAGTATTGGGAGCATAAGCTTTCGTGGGGGAAAACCTCACTTCTTCAGAGTTAGAAGTGAGGTTCTTACCCATGAAAGCTTATGCTCCCAATACTTCTGTTAGTCTTAAAGGTGCCACAGGACCCTCTGTTGCTTTTTACAGATTCAGACTAACACGGCTACCCCCTGATACTTACTGAATGTGTTTATCCAATTTTTATGCATGTATCATTTCTGTATCTGAAGTTAGGAATATTGTCTATGTATCAATTACAACTTTGTGTGTACTTGGGAAAGACCCACCAGACTAAGCAATCAGCCTTAAAGGGCCATTAGGAAAAACAATGAGTCTTTGAAGATGTGCACATCTCCCATCTTCCCTGGAGTTCCTTCCTGTGGACATTGCAAATAAACCTTGTTTCATGGTTGCTTTGACACTGCAAGGTCAGGTGATAAGGTCACCTGGTACAAAATACCACCTGGGACATTGCTGGTACTTTTCCACTGGAAACAAAGGCTTCCCACCTTATGTAAATTCTATTTAAGGCTGGGAAGCAAGGCAATCAGGGCTCTCCATTTGCCTCCCCACCCAAGAAGGAAGACTGCTGAAAGCTCCTGAAGAAACCAAGGAACTAAGCTATGGGAAGGCAAGGGATGAGTCCAGGCTGAGAACAGGGGTTTAGCCTGTAAAGAGACTAAGGAGGTGTGCACGTGAGTGCTGGCCATTCTCCTACCTAAGTCTTCCCACACAGAGCTGATTTCAGTCTGTGTCTGCAGCTGGGTGTGGCCTTACCTCTGTGTGTGTGTGTGTGTGCGTGCGCGCACTAGAGAAGGCTTGAGAGCCTAGCACAGCAAAAACAGGGTGAGGAAACCCAGGCTGGTGGAAAGGATGGGCTCAGTGAGACCCTAGCATATCAGGTGGTGGCCCAGGATGGGGGTCCAATCCATCACAGCCGCAACCACTCACAAGCAACACAGGCCAGTTTGTGACCATGTAGCAGCACTCAAATTCCAAATAGCACAGAATTCCTTCTTCCTTCCTACTTCCCCCCTTGAGCCCTGAGCCCACACGTGGGCCCTATGCTCTCACAGTGCCCCACTGCAATAGCAGATGTTCACATGCGCACATCACCTTGTAGGATTGGGATTGGAAGGTGTTCCCTCTGCAACTATCTACGCTACCTCTCATCTCATTGATTGTCGCTTGTTTGTCCTCTAACCCCTGTGTTTTACGACATGGTCTCTCCAGCTCTCACTGCATACGGGTTGCTGCTTCCTCCACAGCACTTATGAGGATAGACTCCTAGGCAGACCCCATGCAGCCTACTCCATACTTCTCTCCACAGTACAGTTATAATTATTCTGTTTATGGTCCATCAGCCACTTCCATTTGCCCTTCTCCAGACAAACTCTATCTTCTCCCGGGAAACTGTCTCAGACACTTTACCGGCTCACAGCTCTAGCTATATTGGGCCAGACTGGCCCAAGCTGGGGCAAGGAGATGTAAACTACACCTCCCTGTGTCAACTAATCCTCCTACACCCCGAGAGGGTGACGTACCCACAGTGGTCAGGCAGTGCATGGCCCCACTCATCAGTGACACCGTCCACCTCCCAACATCCAGCTGCCATGGGAGAATTGCACAGAACAATCTCAGGTAGAGGGATCATGCTATTAGGCCACCTCCCCCATTACCAGTGCAGTTTGCTCATTGTAATGTAGTGTATTTACCAGGAGTCTGTCCTGCCTAGATTTAAATGAATCAAGGTATGGGGTTTCTGCCATTGCCCTTGGGACACCATTCTGCAGCCTCATTCATCTCATGCCAAGGCTTTCCCCTGCATGATCCCTTTCCAAATTTCACCCCATTGCCCCCCTATCATCACCCTAAATAACCCCTCTCCCCGATTCAGGGTTCCCATGCTGCAGGCAGGTATCACACCCCCAATGCACGCACCCCTCAGCCAGCATGGACTCCCGCTCTCTGAAGCATTGCCACCACGTACCTCCACCTGCTGGCAGATCTGAATCAGCTTGGCCATCTGGTTTTCTAGTTCACTATTGCGTTTAACCAGGTTGGTGAGGTTCGTCTCCAGGGTTTGCTGCCGGCACAGAAACGGGAAGGAAAAAAAGAAAGAGAGTGTAAGCATCAGCAGAGCTGGAGAACCGACTTCACGGATTATAACATCTCAGAACATTATCCAGTGGTCATGTTTGATGACAAAACACACACACATTAACAGCTTTGGGCAGAGATGCTTGGTTGCATTGGCAGCTTCCACCTGGGCCATTTGCAGCTACCACAGAATGCTGGAATGCTGCTTCATGTAGAAAAGGGAGGCACAATAACCTGCTTCTAAGCCAAAGCTAATGTTATTTCATTATCCCAGGTTGACAGCTACAGTAACTTTCATGGGTGGCTAGAGGGCAGCACAGTGCAAGTGACCCACAGGGTTTGGCAACGCAGCCTGCACCCTTAAAGGTCATCAGCACAGAGGAGGGATTGTGTTTGTGCCTCCTCTATTACTTTATTGATTTATGACGAAGGCCTGGAATTTGGGAGGTGGGTTTTTAATCCTGCCTTGATTTTTTTCTTTTTGTCTTTTAATGTACAAAACTGAGTTTGACTCTCCTGACTTTCCTGGAAAACTCTATGCACAGCAGGAGAACTAATCGATTATTCCAACTCTTACAATTTCCCCATGATATTAGGGGTATTTCTAAAAGCCCCAGCTCCTGGAGTCATGAGATTATATGAGGGTTTTTTTTAAAACACATACATTTCTAATCATTGAGGTTGCAGAGCAAAGCTGAAAAACAGGACCCCTATAGGCTCAAAAACCAGAAGGAAAATAAAAAGAACACCATATTTTTTAAATGTCGTGATTTTTTGGGACCTGGCACCTGTTTTTAAATAATTGGGGTTGGCAGCTCTGATGTTATGACATCAAAAGATGCCGGGCATGGGAAAGTGAAGTGAAGACACTAAACACACTGCACTTATGTTAATAGCTACAGCATACAACTCCAATGTCCTACACACACCTGGAAGAAAAGCTCTTTTGTTAAAGATACATCTCCCCATCTTTCCTCCCTTCCAAATGCAAGCAGAGGAATCTCACATTGTTACCAAAGAGTCCTTCAACAAAAACAGGGCAGACCAGACTTGATATTCCTCATATTTCTAAAGTAAAAAGCAAACAGCTTTTTGTTAAATAGCTTCAGGCTCCATTGAACATTATAAAACCCATAAAAATCACACACCTATTTTTCCCAACTTTCATATAGCAATACATATACGTAGGCTTGGCAGAATTCAATTTCCGTTTTTTTAAATAATTTTGTCAGAATGTGTATTTTTAAGCATTTTTTTAAATTTTTATTTAAATTTTCACAATTGTGGGAAATTATAACAGCATCAGAGAATGGGGAGGGGAGACAATTATTATTTAATTACTTTAGACTGCTGAGATTCAAAAAGTTAAAGCTTTATAACCATTCAAATACAAATTGTCTACGTAATGTGTCAAAATATATAAAGTAAATACTCTTAAATCAAACTCTAATAAGTTCTCAAGGAGCGTTTTCCTTACTTTGCCTATTGTGATGGGGCAAGGCCAGATGGCTATAGTAAAGTAATGAGGAACAGGTATGTTAGCCCCAGGTTAAACAAATCCCTGGTACTATGGTAACCAAATGGCAGTTGCTCCAGGTTAATCAAGACACCTGGGGCCAGTTAAGATCCTTCTAGAAAGCAGTGGAGAGAGCTAGGTTGACTGGGACACCTGAAGCCAATCAAGGGCTGGCTGGAACTAGTTAAAAGTCTCCCAGTTAGTCAGTGAGGCACGCGTATCAGGAGCGGTAGGAGGAAGCTGCGCTATTGGAAGAACTAAGCAGTACAAATCCATATTAGGCGCAAGGAAGGAGGCCCTGAGGTAACGGTAACGGTATTGAGTGGGGGCTGCTGTGGGGAAGTGGCCCAGGGAATTGTACACATCCTATTTCCAAAAACTCAGCTACCATAGCTGCTACTATTAGGGTCCCTGGGTTGGAGTCCGGAGTAAAGGGCGGGCCCGGGCTCCCCCCTCCCCTCCCCGAGCAATCACTGAGACTAGGAGACAACAGAGACTGTGCAAGGGAGGGTTGCTTCTCCTCACCTCCCTTGCTGGCTTATGATGAAAATGTCTCAGTAAGCTGTGACCCTTGCCTCTAGAGAGAGAAGGGCTATGTGGAGGGTCACAATGAGCCTCTGAGGCTAGTGAAATCCGCCAGGAAATGCGGGACCCACGGAGACAAGGACAGAGCTTTGTCACACTATCTGTAAATTTTTATCATCATCAATGAAAATATTTTTATCAGTTGTGTGTTTGTATGATAAAATTGACGTTTATCGACATTTGCTGATAAAAATCTAATCCTTCCAAGCCTACCTCTAAGCTACTCAGGTAAAGACAGAGCACTGCATGCTGGGATTTGTAGTTTTCATGGCTTGCAGTTTTCAGGAGATGAGGGAGACTGCAATCTGCGCTGATTGAGACAAGTGCAGTGCATCCCTTGAGGCTGCTGACAAGTTGCCAATGCATCCCTAGCTGGACATTGTTCAGCCAACTCTTCTTTTAGCAGCACGAGATGTTATTCTGCATCCAGTTCTCAATTGGGAAACCTGTCTGATATGAATAAGTTACTCTATTTTCTATCCATTCTCTCCCCTCCTCATCTTGTGTCTGTTATTGAGATAAAAGGCTCCTGGGAGAAAAATTGTGGTCTCAGCGACATAACTACAAGCTGTCTTCATTTCCATTGCCAATTCCCCAATTGGACTAACATTTTGTTCTTGGTAAATTACAATTTAATAACAGAAAGCAGGATTTCAACCAAAGCAGACAGAGATTCCCGAGAGATTGTTTATTTTGATGGTTATGCCGACATTTTGACTGATCACTTTGGATTCTCTGGACATCCCACTGTAAGCTCCTTCAGACCCTTTAATCCTCTTGTATTTATAAAGAGCTAGAGTTTAACATTTTCAAAGTGCACATGTACAGTGAGGGGACTGTTTGATTCCTGTCCAGCACCTAGACAGCCTTGTACTGATGCTGCTGTGTCAAGGGATGGAATTGAGATGGGACATGGGAAACCGGTTTTCTTGTGACTAATTGAAAGGGTGGGTCCAAAAGCAAGGGGAATCCTTTCTAAAATGGGGCCAATGAACAGGAGGTGGAGAGTATCAGAGGGGTAGCCGTGTTAGTCTGAATCTGTAAAAAGCAACAGAGGGTCCTGTGGCACCTTTAAGACTAACAGAAGTATTGGGAGCATAAGCTTTCGTGGTAAGAACCTCACTTCTTCAGATGCAAGATCTGCAAGATGCATGGAGGTGGAGAGAGATTTTTATTTTCTAAGCAAGCGTGAGGAAGTGTAAATCAGCCCAGCAAGCGCACACACAGTGTGCTGAAACACGCTTCAAAACTTCGAGAGAGAAAACTTGGGTTAGCAGATGGGTAAATACAACAAACTTTGATCTTAACATACACTGAAGTGTTATGTTGCTCCCCTGCTCCCCCACCCAATGGAGATGCAGCATTGTAGAAGCCTTACAGCCCCTAGCCAGAGTGTGCACCTTGGTCAATCTGTCTAACTACAGTCTCAAATGTCAGAAATACAATCACAACCCTCGCACCATCAACCCCACAAAACCCCAAATTTCTGAAGGGGGGTTGTTAATATTATAGCAAAATAAAAAAAGTCATTTGTGGTTAACCACAACTAGAAGGTTTTGTGTGGAAGCCTGGGCCATTTAGATGAACTGAGACAGTTTGCAATCATGCTTCCACTTGCTGCCTATTACGCTAAATGCTGGTTTGCTGCCACATCGGTCCTGGTGTGCTGGTTGATGTAATATTTATGGAGAGGAATGCAATCTAACAGACATAGGAGCAGCTAGAAGAGAGCCCATTTGAAACTATTTCAATATCTGTGGACACACAGTGGACTTGTGCTTTTGGATATCAATAATTTAAATGACATCACATTTCCATTAAAATATGTGCTTCCACTAAGAGAAAATGTTTTATAACAAAGTGCTCACAACCTGTTGCAATACTTGTCATGAAAATGATACCCTATTAATATTTGAAGCTTCAAAGCCGAAAAAGAATCCCCGTGGTGTTTTATTCATACTTGGCTTGGAACTGCAGCCCATAGCTCCCAGCAAGACTCTAACAGTCCCATAAACAAGGATTCCCTCTGCATGCACATATAATTCTGGGGCTGGTTAGCCAATGGAACTTGAATCACAGTCATAAAATACAGGCAAATCATTAATTCCTGAAACCCACCGGCTCCTAAAATATTCAGAGCTCATTTGCAATCCTGTGAATTGCTAGCCAATGGCTGAAAAACATAATAAAGAAATAGGATTGAAAAATGACATGAAACTCAAGCGGCTTTCATTAAGCTGAAAATGCTATGCAAAACAAACCTACGTTTATAATGAAAAAGCCAGCTGTTAACAGTTTTTGCCACTGTTTTCTTATAGCTCAATATTATTAAACATAATTTGAATAAAACACTGAGCATTTAACATGCTAATTATCTTTCTCATCATTGACTTGGCTACACTGGAGTTTCTGCGCTGAAATGGGAGTTGATCTTCTTTAATGATCTAATGCCATTGAGGAGGGGCAAGGAGGGTGGGAGAAGTGAGTTTTCAGTTAAATCCTTCATTACATGAAATTCTCAAATAGCTGTTTAGGAATCCAGGATCTACAGCTAAGAACATAAGAATGGCCATACTGGGTCAGATGAAAGGTCCATCTAGCTTCTGTAGTGAGCCAGCCACTCCCAGTCCCTATTCAAGCAAATTCAACACCATTAATCTGGGCTTGAATAGGGACTGGGAGTGGC